TAAGACTGTTAGAACGGTTAACAAGCATCTGAGAGCTTTCAATACTACATACCAACTCTTGTGCTATTTTTGGGTTCGGTTCGGCCTCTTTACTGTTGTTAATAATGTTTTTTTATTTTTTTAAAGAGTTCAACCTCTTTATTCCAATAAAACGTCAAAAATTCTTAAAATTCAATATTTTTAATATTATTTTAATCGACTTTCGAGAAGACTTTCTTTAATCTTCTTTAAAATTATTTGTTTAATTTAAACAAAATTTATATTTTCTAATCCTCACAGACCATAAATATATTTTTTCTCTCAATTATCTTCATTAAATATATTTAAACGACCGGAAAGAATAAAAATTTACTTAAATTCTAATTATTATTTTTAAATTTATTTATTTTGTATTGATGAGTAATTTTATTTTAAATTATTTTACATGGTTTGGAAAGCTCAAAAAAGTCGAGACCTAGACCAAGACTTCACCTCAAGACCGAAAAAACCCAAGAAATGTCTTGGAATCAAGACTCAAGACCAAGAGTCTCGGACTCTCGGACCGCGACATTATGAAAAGTAAAGCTAAGGTACTGGCTCTATTCGTTAAAATTTGAACCCTATAAATCCATAGCTTGTTAAGCTACTTAGAGTTTTGCTAGTTTCGTCTTTCGCGTTTCGCCTCTTTATATTTTTTAATTTTCGCGTTTCGCTTTCGATTTCAAAGCCCGTTTAGGTACATTCACATAAGATACTCCGATCGTCTGGAAACGGATTGAAATTTCCGTATCTCGACCAGGGCTGGACGCAATTGCGGATTGCTTAGAATTGCGTGGTTTTTGACTTGCGGATTTCAATTGCGTCCAGCTCTGATCTCGGCACATGCGCCTCCTCATTTTCATGGTACAACCCTCTCTAATAACTTGTTTATTTTTATTTAATTAATTAATTAATTTTTCTTTAATTTCAGATTTAAGCATATATTCTACATATGAATTGATATATAAATATAATTGTAAGTATTAATTATTTTCTAATTTATTTTCCACAAAAAAACTGCTCGAATATTTGTTGTTGCTGCAGCAAGATATATTTAATATATTTAAATAACAACAACAACAATTTAATTTTTTACGTTTTTACTTTATTTTATTGGTTTTAGTGTGTGTTTAACTAAAATAATTTAAAATTAAATTTAAAAAAATTTTTTACGCGAAGATACGCGGATACGGAGTCAAATACGTACATGATAGCCATACCCGCATTTACAAAACTCCTACTCTGGAGTTTCTCTGACCCTGCCATTTTTGACTTATTTTTTGGGTAACCCTCGCTCATCCCGTTTCTTGTGGGGGTTGAATGTTAAAAATTTGTTATGGAACAAGAATACGAGGGAGGAGAAATTTCAGGAGAAAATGACCTACAAATATTTATTTAGCTAAGACACCTCTCTCATATTCTACTTTATCTTATTTAGATACTATTTATATTAAAATTTTATACATTTTTCCAGTAAGAGATATATATATTCGGATAATTGAAAGTTTTGACTATTTTTCTCTTTCAACCAGAGGTGGGTCGGAATTCCGATTTCCGACTTTTGAGCCATTTCCGATTTCCGACCGTTCCGATTTTCGACACCTTTGACTGTTCCGACCCACTTCTGCTTTCAACCATAATATATATAACTATTGAAAAGAATTTTTCCTTAGTTTAATATAATTTTTGCTGTTTTACCTTTTCCATTCTAGACCAAAAATTATTAACTTTTATTTCCTTAATTTTCATTAAAAATTCAATATTGTTACAAAATCTGTCAAAAAATCATAAGAAAATAAATAAAATATTATTCTTTCTTGTGAGGGTGTAAAATTTATTTTTTTTATTTGCTCATTGATGCATGCTTGAATAATTTTCTTTTTTTTCCCTTTTTTAACAAAAAATGTGACTAAAAATAAATTAATGGCAAATTAAGTATTTTTTGGATTATTAGAATATTTCTGAAAAGGCTCGTTTTCCTTTTTTAGAATTTTTTGTGTCTTCAACACAAAAAAAAAGGAAAATTTTTTTCTACTGAAATTAATTAAGGGAACTAAACGAGATCTTTTGTATTTACTTCCTCTATTTATTGTTCATTTTAATAAGTAGGTAACTTGTTTAGCATATTAAATAGGAAATGAAGTTAGAAGCAGTGATGTCAAAGTTCCAGTTCCAGTTCCGGAACTAATTAGTTCTAGTTCCAGTTCCGGAACTAGAACTACGGAACTAGTAAATGCCTGGAACTAGCTTGGAACTGGAACACTAGTAAATGGCTGGAACTAGCTTTGGAACTAGTTCTGGAACTAGTTCTTGGTGGTATATTTTTGACAAAATTTACTCGACGAATCTACGGGACGACCTTAGAAATTCTCAAAATTTCCGCCTGCGGCGCTGAAAAAGTGAATGTATTTCCGAAAATAGTAGAGTTGGCCGGTATCGGGATCCCGACCAGTATCGGGCGGTATACCTACCCTCCAAGGTGGGGCTCTATTTCAGGGTGGGTTTTTTTTTCGGAAATCTTTTAAATCCCTTAATCTTTTCAAACCTCTGATCTCCCCGATATCTATTACGTAAAAATCCCGAAATTATTTTAGCTACACTAGGATGTCATCCGGATTCCACTGTAACTTAGCATCCACAAAATCAGAATCTTCTGATGATCCATATTCAGATCCTACAGAATTATATTCTCCTTCACCGGATTATTCGAACCGGATTATCAGGATTACTGGATTAATCCCGCGGGATCCTGTCCGTAAAAATTTTGAAGAAAATCCCGTTACGGGATCCCGTGAATGCTATTTTGCCGCACACTAAATGATTTTTTAAATTATGCCTTTATTTGTTAAAATTGATAAATCTTTTCATATTCAAAAAAAAATTAAAAATTTGGAACTAGAACTAGCTTGGAACTAGTTCCAGAACTGGAACTGGAACTAAGGAATTTCAAAAATTGTGTTCCGGAACTGGAACTGGAACTACAAAAATTAAAAACCTGGTTCCGGAACTGGAACTGGAACTACTAAAATTAAAAACCTGGTTCCGGAACTGGAACTGGAACTACTAAAATTAAAAACTTAGTTCCGGAACTGGAACTAGTTCCAGAGAAATTTTGGAACTTTGACATCACTGGTTAGAAGGAACTCCGACAGAAGGAAAATCCGCTTTTTTGTTCCGAATAATTCTAAAAAAATTTTTTGAGTTCCGATTTCCGACATTTGGTCTATCTTGAAGTTCCTACTATTGTTCCTTGCACAACAAAAAATGTTTCGGATAAATATTAGAGGATATACTGGATCAGGAAATGTTACTCTACCTATTTTAGAACGTATGGCCACTGAGACTAGGACTAGGTTGTTTGATCAAAAATTTTCATATCTTCGGAAACCAAAACCCTCGTTTTCTTCGTGTCCGTACTGGCATCATTACCTTGAATAATAAATTTAAAAGCAATTTTCTTTATTATCAACCACACCTATCTTATAGGAGGGCATGCGTGACAGTCCTCAAAGACAGTCTACAAATAAAGACAGTTTACAGACAGTCCTTAAACTCATTCAAAAAATTATTTAAAAAATTTTTCCTTTAATTCCCTTTAATATTTTTAGAATTCGTAACTTATTTTATTATTTATTTTCCCTCTATAATTATTTTTGTCTTTAAAAATAAAATTAAATATTATTAAATCTGATTATCTAAACGTCAACGAAATAAAAAAAATAAAGCCATATATAAATCCTTTCCTCCTTTTATTGCCTTTTTATTTTCCGTTTAAATGCCGGCAAAAGTAAATTTAATTTTTTTTCTTCGTTTTGCCGCGCATGTCCTCCTAGAGAAATTGAAGGCCTTCCTTTTTATGTAAAAAATTGACGAAGAAAAATGGCAAAAATGGAATATTCAATTGATTTTAAATTTAGAAATTTTTCTATAAAAATTGACAATCCTTCCCCTCCTTTTTTTCTTATTTTTTTTTTGCCGTTATCGTTTTTACAAGGGTTGTTCTCGACGGGTACAGCCCAAAACGGCGCATGGCCATAACAACGCAAAGCCATGACTAGCTGGAAAATTTCGGACCCTTATCAATTTTGATACCAATCTCTTTAGCTCGATGAGAGGAGGAAATCTTGAAGCATGTTATGGCCGTGCACCGTTTTGGGCGTGTACCGTTCACGACTTGTTGTAAACCGAAATTTTTAATTTTTTCTTGATTTTTTGAATGCTATTTTAAAAAATTCCTCAAACATAATTTAACTAAAACTCATAATCGAAAAAACTGGGTTTATTAAATTGGGGTTAACTGGAAACTGAGGGTACCGGTAATGTCTCTACCAATTTTTTCTATAAAAAATTTAATAACTTTTTTATTAAAAATTTGTTACTAGACATCCCGAATCCCGAAATTGTGAATTTATTTTTATGTTTTGTCCAACACTACTTATTACAATATTTATTGTTATTTAATTTTATTTATTTTTTCCTTATTTAATTTTTTCTAAGTGTGATTCTTGTTAAATAAAAATTTTTGTCCTATGAGACTTCCGGTCTCGATAACCAGATTTTTGATCCCGTGTGGGATTACTGAAGGAGTCCATAGAGGGATATCATTAACCTTTTTGGATTAAAAATATTTTAAATACCAAAAAGCTTATATTATCGAAGCCATAAAAATATTTAACTGAAATCTATAGCTTATACTTTTTTATTAAGAAATTAAATGTCATTATTGGCGGCGAAATAAATTATTACCGTATTTCCTAAAATAAATCCCCATGCTAAATTAGAGCCCCAATTTGGAGAATAGTTGGAAATAAAGCCCCATGAGGCTTTTTTAGCGCTATGTTTATCATTTTTTCGTGAATCGAGATCGAGCTGTTCAACTGATCAGTAAGCTGTCCCGAATTCAGATTCCCTAAATTGTGAATTTATTTTTTATGTAGGTTAGATCCCTGTACCTCAACTGTGAATCAAATCCCTCCCAGGAATTTTGAAATTTTGGAAAATTTTCTTTTTTCAGTAAAATGCCACCTTAATAAAATGTTGTCTTCTTCTATTTTAAAAACTCAAAAAAATGTTTTTCCAAAAAGTACACAAAAACAATACAAACTATCCCCTATTTATCCATTTTTGGGCACCAAAAATTCTTTGCCAATTTAATTTGTCGCCTACGTTTTTCCCCTTTTCATATTTTAAATTTTTCCTTTTTAAACTTTTTTATTGTTTCCGCTTAAATTAATTTTATATTTGCGTGTTTGGGTTTTTATTTTTAAATAAAAATTAAATTAAATTGATTAAAGAAGGTGTGGAGAGAAAATATTATTTATTAAGAAGAAATTACACGTCTTACATCATGTATTAACCGATACCCTCGTGTTTTCGGTTAATCCTATTTTAAAATACCCGGTTTTCGCTTTTAAGCCTTAGACAAACGGGCCGGGTGTGTCCAACTCTAATTGAGATATAGAATGGCATGTCATCATAATACTTGTTTTTGAAATTGTCCAAGAATGGTTTTAAACCGATAAGCTTAATATTCTGTTTTTTGATTTTTAGATCACTTTTTCGATTTTCTCCTCGAATATTAACTACGGGTCGTGGTCAAATTCTATTTATTTACATCTTCAGACCAACCTTTTCTATTTTCATAACACACTTAATTATCCTCTTATTTTTTAAATCTAAAGTTGTGGATTAGGGTTGGCATATCCGGATATTTGGATCTGCAAACAAATTACAATGACATGTTCTTGTTCAGATTTATCCGTATCTCCTTAAAGTCGGGATCTCTTTAAATTTTTGTATTAGGATCCGAATCAGGACATCCGGGGATTTCTCGTGATCCGTCAACCTTACTAGACTTATAAGGTTATTAGAGTTAAAAATGTCCTTAAATTGATTTTTTTGGATCTCAACTTCATGTTTTTTTCCAATTTTTTACTTTAAAAATATTTAATCCCCCTTTTAAATTTATTTAATTTAAATCCCCCTTTACACTCTTTTTCAATTTAATCTATTTATAACTTTTTTTATTCCATTTTAATTTCCACTATTTTAACACATTTTTAATGCTAAACAAGTGGCATTGACTTTTTTTGGAAAAAAGGGAGAGACGAGAAAAATTGAATTTTTATTTATTTTTTGGAGGTAAAGAGGGACCAGCGGGGAACTTTTTTCCTTAAAAAATTTTTTTTTGAACATTTAACCATGTAAAAAAATTGAAAAAATATAAACCAAAAATTACAAACACTTTCTTAAAACATGCCTTATCCTTAATTTTCGTGTTGCCGTAAAAAGAATTGAAGGGAAAGGATATTAATCCTATAGGGAATTTATTTAACCCTTTTTTATAATTCTTTAAAGTTTTTTTTTGATTTTTTTAAAGAATTTTACTTTTTTTAGAAATAAAGATATAAATCTTTATTTAAATTAAAATAGAATTTTTATTTCCAAAAAAATTTTTAAGTTTTATTCAAGTTTATTTAATTTTATAAGTAAGGGACGCTTCTGTAATGCCTTACCGAGTCCCTATTTTGCACCATAACTTTTTTGATTCTTAACCGATTTTAACAATTATATCAATCAAAAGGTCTGGATGTTAAGATTATTTTATCTAACGGGATTAGGCTGATCAGATAATTTACTAAAAAGTTACAGCCAGAGAAGTACGCGCAATCGTGAATTTTCATATTTATTCAACCATAACTTTTTGTATTGTGATCTAATCAAATCAATCCTTTTAGATTAAATAATCCACACATCCAGAGCTTTCGATTGATATAATAACAATTTTTATTGGTTACTAATTAAGTAAGTTATGACCCAAAATATGACCTCGACAAGATTATACAGAGATAGGCTTTACCTAAATATTAATGTCTATTTAATACAGACCGTGTCTCAATTTTTCATAATTAAGTAGACCTCAAACTAAGACATATTTTTTGGGACACGCTCAAAACGGTGCGCCCTAACTAGCATTAAGTTTTTTATCTTACCAAATATGGTAATAAACGATTCCTCTCATCGAGCTAAGAAGATTGGTATCAAAACTCATATGAGCTGGGAAATTTTGTTCGTTTATGGCCTATTGGCTTTGTTATGGCTTCGTGCCCTTTTGGGCTACTTTTTTCATTTTGGATGGCCACTAATTTACCTCCATTTTAAAATACACCTCTTTATAAGATCCATTTTCATCCTTAAATGTGTATTATAAAAATTAATATCTGATTGTATATTTATTTTTTTAATCATCCAATTTTAAAAATCTGCAAAAAAATTTTATTTTTGGAATCCTCTATCTACGTAAATAATTTTTAGTCATTTTAATAATTTTTTTCCTACCATTCGGATGTTCACTATTTTTGACTTTATTTATGTCACTGAATTATTTATTTTATCAAAAAAATTTTTGCGGCTATGTAAATTATTTTTTAAATAAAATTTTTCAGTCATTTTATTTTTTAAATTTTCATTTTAAAAATTGCTTTATTTTTTATTCCTTTAAAATAATGCAAAACTTTTTTTAAAAATATTTTTTGATGAATTTTTAGTCATTATTAAATTTTATTTTAAAAAATTTTGATAAAAAATTGTTTTATTAAATTATTAGAGATGCCTAAGACTCTTGGTCCTAAGTCTTGCCTCAAAACTTTTCTTGGGGTTTTTCGGTATTGGTCTCGAATCTTGGAAAATTATCGGTCTTGGACATCTCTATTAATTATTTATTTCTTAAATCTTAGACACTAGTATAAGCCTTACATTTTTATCTAAATACATATTTTTACAAAATATGTATTAGGTCTAATTATTAACATAGTTAGGTTGAAGTTAAATTTTTTTCCTCCAATTTACTCACGATTTTCAATTTTTTGTAATCCCTATTCCAACCTCTTTTGGATGTCAGAAAATTGTCGAGTAAGTATATATTCCGATTCCTTCAACTGTTAGCTTTTAGATATTAACCTGAAACTGTGAATAACTTTTCTTAGAATTAGGTCAAAGATAAGTGTTCATAAATTTCAATCTTGTTCGTACCAACCCATTATTTCACCTCGTACGAGTACAAATTTTGGTACCAGCTAATGAACACAGGTCATGATTGAACCTTTAACTGATATACCTAATTATGTGAAGAATAGTGTGTTTTTATGAGAATATTTTTTAATTAAAATATTGGTGACTTAACAAAAAGAAGGATAAGATAAAAAAGCAATTGGAGCTTCTTTTGACACGTGAGGGCTAGTCTGCTTCATATAAGGTTATTTCAACTAGGGCTTAATTCAAAGTATGGGGATAAACATCCAATTATTTAAAAAATAATCCTCTTTTTTTCTTGGACTTTTCTTCCCAATTAAAATTTTTGCACTTGCTGGTCTTTTTATTAAAAAAATTTTTTTTGTTTTTTATAGAGAGGATTTTTTTCTCATATTTTCATGCATTTATTTATTTTTTTTTATTTTCTCACGCTGTCAACTAGTAGTGTTTTGACAGCTCCAATTGCTTTTATCTCGTGTTTCTTTCCCTCTCCTTTTTGTTGTCACAATTAAAATAAAGGAAAAAATTTTTTCAAAAAAATATTTTTATAATAAACACAATTCTATCTGTGTTCTTTGAATTTTTAATTAGGTGCTAGTACACTCTGTTCCAAAAAGATACGACCACCCTTATTTTTCACTGTAACTTGATGAAAAATCAACAAATCTAACTCAAATTTTAACAAAATATGTATTTCTACAATATTGTTCAAATCTATAAATATCACAGTTGTCAGTTGATAGATAAAAAATTTATCGTTTAAAAACCGAAATTTAGGTGTTCCAAAATGATACGACCACTTGATAGTTCTATACTATCTTGGTACCTATCATTAATTTTTTGTACTATTATTTTACTACAATAAATATTGTAATAAAATAAGAAAAAACTAAGACGGTATCTTTATCAGAAGTCGAGATACTGATACCTCAAAAATCAACGTAAAACAAGGGTAAGGCTTTGTCAGAAAGATTTTCGACCCCTTATAGGTTATTTTAAAATTTTATTTTAGGCCCATTTGAAAGCCCTTGAAATTTGCTACAAGATAGCCTGAGTCTTATTTTTCAGAAAAAATTCCAAAGAAAGATACGGGTCGCTAATCTTCCGAACTCCTATATACCCCATAAAATGTCACTTAAGGTAGCGTCGGACAGAGTGTATGTTAGGAACTTAAGATAGCGTCGAACAGAGTGTATGTTAGGAAAAATTAATTTAGTAATTTTAGCAGGCTAGGTATTCGTTAAAGACATTTACGGAGCGGATTTCAAGAAGTGTTAGCCTACTTATTTTTGGAATCTACAACCTCTGGACCTTTAGATACTTTAACTCATTGTCTAATCACTTTATCTAAGTCCGTCAATGTCTGTCCTTGACTTAATCGTTACATGATATCCGTTTACTTTTCAGGAATCCTAATAAGAGATAAATGGAGCAGTTTATCCTCCTGGTGCCGTATTTAGAGAACGAGGTAGGGGTTAACCAACCCTCAGCTGCGGGAAGATTAACCCAGAATTCATAAATAAGAGTACTTATCAGGTACCCTTACCTCGTTCTCTGAATACGGCCATGAATATGCATAACCTTTTAATCTGTGAAAATCAAGAAAACTAAGAAAATCTACATTATGATCAAAAATATTTTTAATTATTAAATAAATTTCCTGAATCTCAAAATTATATTTTTTTCATATGTATTATTAAAAGATTTTTAAAAGTATTAAAAATAAACACACACTAATTACCTCAAAAAGTAAAAATAAAAACAGCAAGTTAAAAATTTAAAAATATTTTTAAAATGGCTTTAGCAACAACAACATATTCGAGCAGTCCAGGCCGTAATGGACGCCGTCCATCAGCGGCCAGTGTTTCCGCCACTAGTGGAGGAAGCGGGAATTTTTTTCTTTCACCAAATTCTGTTTTTCCAGAAGGATTTAGACCAGAAAGACGAAGAAAAAGCTACGCTGGTGATAATCAAATACCAGATTTATTTATTTATTCGCCTGAAACAGCAATGAGTCCAACACTGACAAGTCATGGGGGCGGGTTTGGTGCTTCTCCTCAACAGGTGTTTTTTGTAAATTTGAATGGAAAATTTTTTAAAAATATTTCTGAAAGTTTTTACATACTGTATATGCTCGAATAAATATCATCTCTCAAATAATTGCCTCCTCTAAATTAAATACCCTCCAGGACAGGTTGAAGCAATACTTACCCCCTCCCAAATATTCTACTTCAATGTCCATCACAGTTAATATTCGAGAATCTAACACTTATCTAGCCCCCTCCCCCCCTCGATTAATTATCCTCTCTAGTCCCCTCTCGCGAAAGGTTGAACCCCCCCCCTCTCGATTAATTATCCTCGCTAGCCCTCTCTCGCGAAAGGTTGAATTACCCAGGGTAATTATTAGAGCATATACGGTAATTATTAGTAGTTACTCCCATCCGGACAATCGCGGTCAATAAGGGACTCATTCCTTTTTGGGGTGTTATTGCCAGTTGGAGGCTTAATCCTCTTATTTAACCGACTTTATTTTAACAAGTTAACTAAACTCATTTTGAGAAAAATAATAAAATTAATAGGTAACTATAATTTATCATAAGAGTATGTTAACTACAAATCAGAAATGTCCAAATTAAAAATAGAATAAAATTGAAA